AAAGGCCTCCGTGTCCTCCTCCCCGCCGCCCTCATCGTCATAGGTGATGATGTTTTCCCTGACGTCCTCCTCCTCCAGCACCATCAGTGCTTCCTGCTTTTGGCGCCGCAGGGCCGCGAAGAGCACCACCAGGGCTGGGGGAGAGGACGGGGCGCTGAGCCAGCGCGGGCGGCAGAGGGTAGGTGCCGCCGGAGGAGGCAGTGTGGCCTGGGGGTGGCAAGCCCTAGGTTTGACGTCTAGTGAACTTCGTGTGAGTCCAGACTTCAGCCCTTACCTGTCGTGTGAGCATGGGAAGTTGCCTAACTTGTCCAGACCTCTCTGACCCTTAGATCGATTGCTCGTATGGAAAACAGGGAAAGCATTTACCTCGCAAGGTTGTCAAAAGGATGAATTGCAATACCATTAAGGGATGTGCCCAGTGCCACCTGTGGCCCAGAGTTGGGGCCCAATAAACAGTTTTATGGCTTGTCCCTGCCACTGCAGACCAGCAGGTCAGGCATGGGAGGCCAGAGCTTTTCTCTTGGATGCATCAGGCAGTGTGACAACCCAGGCACGAGGGTTCCTGTAAGCCCGAGGGTGGATTTCCCTAAGTCCAGGGTCCTGATGCCTCTCCATATCCCCAAGGACCTGGACCCCACATCTATGTCCCACTGTGGCCCGACTCACCAAGCAGGGTGCCCACACAGGTGACGATGGCGAGCAGGGCCCCGGTGCTGAGCCCAGCGGGTGAGAGCTGAGCCTCGGGCCGGCAGGATGCCACGGAGCCGTCCGGCCGGCAGCGGCACATGCTGACGGTCACTGTAGCGGTGCTGCTCAGTGCTGGGGTCCCCCAGTCCCACAGTTCTATGGGAACGAGGTAGGGGGCCTGGCGGGGCGGAGCAGGACGAGAGGGCAGCAGCAGGCTGGCAGAGCCATCTGTGGGAGAGAGGAGGTGTTACGACATCTCCTGGGATACCTTCCCAGTAGGGTCAGGCTGGCCCATGGAGACAGCTTCCCATGGGGAAGGTTTACAGTCAGCAAACATGAGCAAATCCATATCTCCTTCCTGTTAGGAGGAGAGACCAGGTAGGCGGGCAGGGGTCAGGTAGGCTGGAGCTAGAGAGGAGCAGGGAGGCAAGCATGGGCAGGCACCCACCTCGGTTGTCCCGGACAGTGAAGTTGGCATCAGGGCCCAGAGGACCTTGAAGGGAGACACGGCTACTGTTGCCAGCTTCATCTCTGTCCAAAGCCCGGATGACCTGAATCAGCTGGGAGGAAGGAAACAGGCCTGTATGGAGTGGGCAGCCAGAGGTCTGCGGTCCCAGCCCCTCTGTCTCAGCAGCTCACCTGGCCAGGGGCTGCAGAATCACACACGAAGGTGTCGTAGGGCTCAGCCAGCTGGGGAGCATTGTCATTCTCATCCAAGGTCTGGATGGCCACTTGCACACGGGAGGCCTGTGCGGAGCTGTCTGAAGCCAGAACATGAACACATACACCCCACACACGCAGACACAACATACATGGTGCATGGGCATGGATGTCACATGCAGCACATAGCATGCACATGCAACACATATGCATGCCATTTGCAAGTAGAAAACATTTTGCAATGAATGGAACAAGACCAATTGCATACAACATTCATGTAGTGTCCAAGACATGTGCAATACACAATATACATTGACAGGAAGGTAGCACCCATGATTTACATGAACAATAACCCACATGTGGGGCACATACACCATAAATGAAGGGTAGATAGAAGGTGCAAACAGGTTGCATTTAGACAACAGCCATGAAATACACAAGCACAGGCATACCATATATTAGGACACTCAGCATTGAAAATAAATGCAACATACATGAAGTGGATGTTCAGTGTACACAGTGGGTACAGTATCCCCCAACCCCCAGGGTCCAGATAATGCATTTTCATGCCCGGCATTGGTGGGAGGACACACACACACACACACACACACACCCCACGCCCCATCAGAGGAAGGCTGTGGTGCAGCAATGAGTATCACTTAGAATTGACCTTGGGGAGGGAGGCACTGCATGCTGCACAGGGTACAGAGCCTGGGGACCACAGGCAGATGCAGGCCCCTCTTCTCCCGTCCCTTCATCAGGTGGCTCCCACCACTACCCTGCCTTGCTCCTCCCTGCCAGTGGCCCCAAGAGAGAATGGAAATATGTGCATCCCTGCCCACCCTAGTGCTCACCTCTCCTAGGCTGATCCCTTTAATATCGCCCTCACCGCCCACACGGAGGGAGCTGAAGGTCGCAGCCTGGCAAAGGAGGCCGAGTGGGCTGCCTGGCTAAAGGCTGGGATACACCAGAGACAGGATGGGGCTGGGATCCATTCCTCCACTGCACTAAGGGCCCAGGATCTGCTAGTTGATACTGGGGTTCCAGTGGGGAGCAGGACTTGGCAGAAGGGTGAAAAGACAGTGAGGGGAAACACACACACACACACACACACACACACACACACACAGCTGGTTATGTGTACACAGGCAGCCATAACACACACTATATATACACTCAGGGACAGACAGGCATGCACTGCCACGTGACACACAGCTGCACGGACATAACCTATACAAGTACGATTTAACACGTATGACAGCGGCGTGGTGAAAGGACATAGCTCAGACTCTGTAGCCTGACTGGGTCTGCCTGTTCCATCACTTCATCTCTGTGTGACCTTGGAAAGCTCTTTCACTTGCCTTTGCTTGAGTTTTCTCATTGTAAAGTGGGGAAATAATCATACCTCCCTCACAAATTTGTGGTGATGATTAAATGAATAAAACTACATTTGGTACTAAGCCCAGTGCCTGATATACAATAAGTAATAAGTTATTATTATCTGCCCATAAACACTCACATATATAAAACAACAGACACAACCAGCTACGTGTACCTCTCATTACACACATTCATTATACATATGCATAAATAATGTAAATGTAATTCTACACACTCAACTACATATACACATATAGACATGTACTCATAAATATGTATGTGAGCATATGTACTTTTCATACACATGGAATTATACTCACAAGTAAGTGCACAACACACAGACACACATACATTAACTCTTGACTGACATGCAAACATCTACACACCACAGTGACAACTCCCGTGGACGGGACACAGCAAATGCAGTGCACCCTGGGCCTGAGCAGGGGTGATAAGGACAGACTGACAGCGGGGAGGGGGCTCCCTGCCTCCACGGGCCAGAGCTGCCCGCAGAGAGGCCGCTGAACCAAGCTGCTGGTGACTGGCGACTGACAGGGGCAGGAGAGGGGCCAGCCTTCTCCCCTACCTAGAGGATTCCCCGCAGGGCTTCCCTGGGAGTGACCACTAGGGCCCCCCAATCAGCCCCCAGAGCAGGTCCCAGCCCTTCCCCGGCCCTTGGCTTCAGCCGGAAGCAGAGAGTACACAGGGCGGGTCTACCAGGTGCAGGCTGGGATTCTTAGGGGGTGGGAGCTATTTGAAGTTACACTTACTTTGGAGCTGAGAAAAGTCAGGTATAGGAGTGAATTTAAGGTCAGGAGAAGGCTCTAGCAGACCTACCAGCCTAGGAGAGCAGGCCTGCCTGATGGTGGTGATCCAGACTGGGGACCCAGTACCCGGGGGAGGGTCCGATGGCAGTACCCTTCCTCCCCCCTGCGCCCACGCTCAGGGACAGTCCCTCTGCCAGGAGGCTGCTGCCTTCTCCAGGGCCTCCAGGGGCCCAGGACTCCTCACCAAGCTCTGTGGCCAGCACTGTGAGGTTGTGCCAGACTCGAGCCTCGCGGTCCAGGGGCACGGCTGTGCGGATGGTGCCGTCCTCAGGCTCGATGGAGAAGCAGCGCTCCATATCCGAGTGGGGGAGGATGGAGTATCTGGTGAAGACAGAGTAGAACTGGGGCTGATCTGGGGGCAGGGCCACAGCTTGCTGCTCTCCGTTCCCCCCCTCCCCCCCGCTTCCTTCTGTTCCCCTTACTGGGCCTCCTGCCCCATGCACTCACAACCATAACTCACATAGGGTCCCCTTAAAAGACAATGTCCCTGGGAAGTCATCAACATTAAATACCTGTCATGAAACTCAGGGGGACTGGGTTTCCTAGGGGTCGGGGAGAGAGACAGAAAGAGGTAGAAGTGGGGAGACACTGCCTGTCTTTCAGACTCTGGGCTCTGTTCTGGGGACCCCAGGATCTGTGTTCTAGCTCCACTCTGCCCCAGACCCACTGTGGGACCTTGGGCAAATGGTTTAACCTCTGTCTCCTCAACTGCAAAATGGAATGAGACCAGCTCCTCCCTCAGTGCTGGGAGGTGGGAAGAGGGGTTCTTCTCTGGGTGGGTGGCGATGGGCATCTCATCCCAGGTTTGACGCCCAGCTCTGCCACTCACTGACCGGGTGACCTTGGGCAAGTTACTAACCCTCACAGGGCCTAGCCTCGCAAGACTGGTGACGAAGACGCTCCTTCATAGGGCAGTTGTGAGAATTAAATGTCAGTGTGACAGGCTGAGGGCGTGACCCCAGTGAGAGCGACCAGGATCAAGCACACTCGGCCAATGACATCACATCTGCTTGCACTGCCACTAGGAGGCACCTCTCTCATCCACCCAGAGGGATGGGTGGAGTCGGGAGTGTGGAGCCAGGTCCTCCGCCAGGAGGCAAGTGAGACACATTCTCCAAGGGACTAGACTGCCCCTGAGCACCTTCCCCCAGGCCTGGCCCTGCCCTGACACCCTCCACTCACCTGATCAGGCTGGCGGGGGCGTCCAGGTCAGTGGCTGAGACTTGGCCCACCAGGGTCCCAGGAGCCTTGTTCTCGGGCACCACCAGGTGGT